CCAATTTCATTGTTACAAATTGAACATAATTAAAGCATAGTGATTAATCACAAAAACAATATATAATTATATATGTGTTTTCCGATGGTCATAGGTGACCTCTGTGAAAGGGTCATTCGACCCCCAAAGGGGTCGCGACCCACAGGTTGAGAACCACTGGTTTAGGTCACAAAGCCTGTACTCCTTGAGGAGATCCTATATAATAAAAGGGTAATATGGACGGAATGACCAGTCGCTATGATGCACACTGACCACCAGGAGGCAGATGTTCAATGCAGGAGCTGCCCCTGGTGGTCCGTGCACTTTCACAAGGGGAACGCTGCTCAGCCAGAAGCCGGGCTGACGGCTGGCAAGTATAGTGGCAGTGGTGGGAGCCTCTCCCGCCTCCGCAGCAGCCTACGCCGTCAGTTGGACTTCCCCCAAGGGCTCCCAGACTGTGAAAGGGCACAGGCTGGGCTGAGGACCCCACTACCACCGAGTGCACGAATGTTGTGCACCAGGCCTCTAATGTGAAATAATTCAAAGGGGTAAGTCACGCTTCTTTTCAAAATCATTCCAGTGTTAAGGGGCTTAGTCTCAGACCCTTGATGCAATAATTTAAAGAACCAAAGGTACACTAACAGATGCAAATGGAAAGGGCCCTGAATTGTACACCTTTAAGTAGTCAATTTTATGGTATGTGAATTATACCTCAATAATGCTGTAATTTTTTTAAAGGTGGAGGTGGGTGGGGGAGGGAGGACCAAATCCCATTGTCAACATTTGTAATTAACACCCTTAATCACCTGCTTCCTACACGTCTTCTCTACCTGTGAGCCTTTAGAGTAGCCTCGGAAATGGCTGCAGAGCCAGAGAAAGGCAACAGAAACTGATTCCTGTGAACCAGCGGCTACTGTCACCGACATCAAGAAAAACAAAAAATACCAGCAGTGAGCACATAAACATGAAATAGCAAAGAAAAGGGTGTTATTTCAACAGAATGTTTAAAGAACTGAAGGAAGATAGCTTGGTAGGGGCTTGAAATGGTTCCCACAGATCGTGGGCTTGTGTAATTTAAAGGTGATAGAGGACTGAAAAACATGTCTGTGTGGTAGGAACAGATATTGGTACTTGGGAAAGCAGGACTGGGAATCCTTCAGAAGGATACAATAAAGAGAAAAAAGGCTTGGAAGTTCACACACACACACACACACACAGCGGTGACATCCAGGGCTCTTTGCTATTGTGAAGAAGACTCCCAACTGAACATTAGTGTCAATCCTTTTACTTGTCTTAAGGAAGATTTCCAGCCAGCATGGCTCAGTGGTTGAGCGCCAAGCTATGAACCAGGAGGTCATGGTTCAATTCCAGGTCAGGGCACATGCCTGGGTTGCAGGCTCGATCCCCAGTAGGGAGCGTGCGGGAGGCAGCCATCAATGATTCTCTCTCATCATTGATGTTTCTCTCCCCCTCTCTCTTCCTCTCTGAAATCAATAAAAATACGTACTAAGAAACTTTAAGAAAGATTTCTCCCCGCCCCAACCTTCTACTTTCTATATAGATTCACCCAGCTCTCACCTCCCGCCTCACTCTGAACAGAGGACCACATTTCCAACTTCCCTGAGAAACAGAGGCCATGGGGCTTAAACTATTATCTTAACCTTTTAGCTCAACACCTCGCTTAAAAAGTTACTGCTATCTGCACTTATTTTTGTACCTTTGGTCTTAGAGATGTCTTCTCTCTGGTTCCAAATTCAATTGCTCTACCTAAACTCCTTTTATAAAGTTGAGGTAAAATTCACATACCATGTAACCAACCATTTCAAAGTGTGCAGTACGTGGCGTTTCCTGTGTTCACAACGTGAGGCCACCACCACCGCTCTCTAGTTTCAAAGCCTGTTAACCCCAGGAAACATCCCACTCCCCCACCCATCTCCTGATAGCCGCCCACCCATCTGCTTTCCGTCTCTGTGGATATGCCCTCTTTGGATGTAACATATAAAAGGAACCACACAATTGTGACCTTTTGTATTTGGCTTCTTTCACTTAGCACAGTGATGGTGAACCTTTTGAGCTCGGCGTGTCAGCATTTTGAAAAACCCTAACTTAACTCTGGTGCCGTGTCACATATAGAAATTTTTTGATATTTGCAACCATAGTAAAACAAAGACTTATATTTTTGATATTTATTTTATATATTTAAATGCCATTTAACAAAGAAAAATCAACCCAAAAAATGAGTTCACGTGTCACCTCTGACACCCGTGTCATAGGTTCGCCATCAATGACTTAGCATAATGTTTATGGAGCTCATCCCAGCAATAGCATCCTTTTTTTTTTTTTTTAAATTAATTTTGAGAGTGATTGCTTTTTTTAATTTTTTTTTTAATTTATTTTTTTACAGAGAGGAAGAGAGAGGGATAGAGAGTTAGAAACATCGATGAGAGAGAAACATCGATCAGCTGCCTCCTGCACACTCCCTACTGGGGATGTGCCCACAACCAAGGTACATGCCCTTGACCAGAATCGAGCCCGGGACCCTAGAGTTCGCAGGCCCACGCTCTATCCACTGAGCCAAACCGGTCAGGGCTAGCATCCTTTTTATGGCTGAATAATGCTCCATGAACATGCCATTCTTTGTTCATCCACTCATCCTATCTAGACTCTTTTATGTTTTTTATTAATTTTAGAGAGACAGAGGAAGGGAGAGAGGGAGGGTGGGAGAGAAGAAGGAAGGGAGCAAGGGGGAGGAGAGGGGAAGAGGAGGAGAGGAGGAGAGGGGGAGAGGGGGAGAGAGAGAGAGAGAGACACATCGATGTGAGAAACATCAATCGTTTGCCTCCCCACATACATCCCGACTAGTGAGCAAACCCACAACCTGGATATGCGCCCTGACTGGGTACTGAACCAGCGATTCTTTGGTGCATGGGAACGCTCAACCAACTGAGCCACATCGGCCAGGGCCCTACCTAGACTCTTGATTTCTTTTTTTCCTGCCCACTTGCAAATCTCGCTCCATCCATCACATCCACTCTTTATAACTTTTCTTTTGCTGTAGGCTCTTACCTTTATGCCTACAAACATCCTCCCCTCTTTTTTAATTTTTATTTATTTATTTTTAAAAAAATATATTTTATTGACCTTTCACAGAGAGGAAGGGAGAAGGATAGAGAGTCAGAAACATCGACGAGAGAGAAACATCAATCAGCTGCCTCCTGCACACTCCCCACTGGGGATGTGCCCGCAACCAAGGTACGGTTGACCGGAACCAAACCCGGGACCCGAGTCCGCAGGCCGACGCTCTATCCACTGAGCCAAACGGGCCAGGGCCATCCTCCACTTTTATCACTCCTCTCACTGCTCTCAGTTACGGCCAACACTAGAGGTCACTCCAATGTTATCTTATTGTTCTGCATACAACACTGTTGCCCACTCCTCATTCTTAAGCGCTCCTCTTAGTTTGTGATATTTTGGCTCTTCTGGTTCTTCCTTTTGGATCCTCTACAAACCCTTCTTTCTCTCCTGCCAAGAGAAGCTGATACTCTCCTATCTCATCCACGGTCCTTTTCTCTCCTCTTTGTGTAATATCCACTGAGTCATCATTTTCATTTCCACACTGTATCCCCAATCAACATACCTTAACCCTCAACCTCTCCCCAAGCTCAGAGGACAAACATAATAACTGCCTATTAGATATCTCCATCTGGGTGTTCCAGACACTTCAAAACCAACATTCCTAAATACGAATTCAGAGCACATCACCCGCACCCAATCAAGACAGAATTTGGGGAGTAGCTCTGCTTCTTCCCACGTCCCTACCCTCGCCTCGTCATAGAAGGCATTTACAGTGTCTGCTCAGCGAAGAGTCCCCTTCCCCAGAAATGCCCGACTCTGATCTAAAAGTCATAGTGGTGCAGCCCTGGCAGCCATGTCTCTCCTAGGAATGTGAACCTGGGGAATTTGAACCCAGTCTAGCCTGGTCTTTTAAATGGAGGAAATACAGAAACAGTGGCAGAACCATCTTTGATCACATAAATTGAGCAGCAGCAGAAGCTGGTAAAGAGAGAAGAATAAAGAAAGCACACGGGGCGGGGTGGGAAACAGAGAGGCGAGAAAAGACACAGGGATTCGTGGCAGCTTTCTATTCCTCGTTCTAACTGCACTGTTAAGACATGCCTGCACTCTTGCCCTTGACGTTTATGGTATTTCCCCCTATCTTCACCAAAAGTTTTTATTTGCACCCAAAGAGAGTCCTTACTAATTCAACTCCCCTACTACCTATCTTTATTGCCATTTTGAAGCACAGATCCTACGATTTCATGTTCCCGATGAAAATCCTTTAATAGTTCCTTCCCCACGGTCTCAGCATGAGAAACCAGGCCCTAGGGGCAGGAGCATCCCATCTCTCCAACCAGTCCTTCCCCCACTTAACGCTCAGCCATAACAAATTCCTCCCAGGTTCCGGAACAAATCATGTCCCTTTTTACCTCCCTATATGCTACTCCCTCTTCCTAAAATTCCCCGTCCGCTTGGTGGTATCTAATTCCTCCTCTTCCTGTCTCACCCTAAGTGTCATTTCCTCGAGACAAAGACTGCACTGACCCCATCGAGGTAACCACTGCTTCTGTTCTTCTTTCATCAACATTTCATACTGCAATGAAATCCTTCCTGTGGGCATGTGTATCTCTCGCTACGAAGACTGTCAGTTTCTTGAGTGCAAAGATTGCACCTTATCCTTGCACTTTCTTGAATGTATTTATGCCAAATTTTGATTTTTTTCTTTCTCTATATCCCTCAGAAAATAAGAACAGAAATATAAAACACACTTGTAAACTCATCTGTGTCTGGAACAGCACTTTAGACTCGAGGGGTCTAATCACATACTTATGTTGATTCCACAACCAGCAAACACTCCCCATAAGGCTAACAGGCTTTGTTCCAAACAAAAGGCAGTTGTAGGAATGTCACTACGTGTTGATCTCAGGCGGGTGCTTCCAACAAGATCTTTCATGACCACTTACCTGTGTATTCTGGATAACAGATAGTTAACGGACTCCTCTTTATTTTTTCCTCAAAAAGATCTTTCTTGTTGAGGAAGAGAATGATTGAAGTGTCTGTAAACCATTTGTTGTTACAAATGCTGTCAAACAGTTTCATGCTCTCATGCATTCGGTTCTAAGAAAGAAATAAAGGATGATAGGTCAGTCACAAAAAGCAAAGGTGGACAACTGTTCATGAAAAAACAGACCAAGTTTTAAAAGCACTGAATGGCAACCGTGGAATTAAGTCAGACACTGATAACAAAGAGTCTGGGCCAGTCCTCATTTTTGTAATTCTTGGAAGATTAGGAGGTGGGAAGAAGGACTGGCTGATAAGAGGACTTGATCCTGGCACATACTCAATGTGCTGCATGGTCATCTCTCTTAAGAGTCAATAGGGCATGAATGAATATTTTGAAAATCGAATTTCACTGACAAGGAAAAAAGTTAGGGATGTGAGTTTTGATTCAATGAGCACATGGATGCACAAAGTCTTCCTAAAAGTTAGTTTCCATTTCCTGGATGCACAAGACAGGCTTTTTATGGAGGCTCCAACATACCATCTCCTCATCCTCAGCCAGAACAAGGTCATAGTCACTGAGGGCCACACAGAAGATGATTGCTGTCACTCCTTCAAAACAGTGAATCCACTTTTTTCGTTCTGATCTTTGGCCGCCTACATCAAACATCCTGAGGAAGGGGGAAAGCACAAATTCAGCAAGATCACACACCCCTCCCTAAACTGAAATGATGAGGGATTTCCCACTATTGCATATTCCAAACCCCATGTGTAATGGAAAAAAACAAAGGAGCAGATAAAGTGTAGTCAAAATAATTATCTGTGGTTAAATTAAAACAAAACATGAGAAAATAAATCTCTGGAATAATAAAAATTCTCATTTTAGAGATAGTGAGCCTCCTCTCTATCAGCTTGTACCAGATGTGCCAAGCCAGCAGAGTAAGCACTGAAATGGATAAAAGGGGAAGAAAAAGGACAGGGAAAATAAAGAGCTGAATAATACAACTTAAGATAATAACTATACCTAATATTTACTGAGTGTTTACCATGATGCCAGACACCATCCTAATCATCTTAAGTGCATTAACTGATTTAACCCTCATAGCACTCCTGACTCCTACAAGTATCCCCATTTTACAGATGAAGAAACTGAGGCACAGATATGTTAACTAATTTGCCCAACGACACACAGCTAACAAATGGGGACCGAGGATCTGAACCCGGGCACTCTGACCCCAGCACCCAGGCTCTTATCCACAAACACTGCAACCTCTCAAATGGTTTACCTCTTTTGAGAACTTAATAAATATAAATCCCCAACTTGCATTCTCTCCATAACCTCTCCCTACTGATTCAAAAGTTTGTTTTCTTTTAAAAAAAGTTTAGGTATAATTGAGATACATTTTTCTTAAAGAAAAATATTTTAGAGATTAATTATGGAAAAAAGGGAATTATGTTTTTTTGGTAGGACGCTTAACAAGTCAGTATCTAAAAACAAAACTAATGCTTCTCGACCCCAGTCTTATTTGAACCTATTTAATACTAACAAAGCCTCAGGTGTTGACACACTTCATGTTCCATCCCGGTTAGTTTCAGTCCACTGCTCCCTTCTGGGGCTCACTTGATATCCTAGGCCACCTGCTGAACTCCTGTCAACAATGTCCTCATCCACCTCCGACAGTACAGGAAGCAGCCGCACAGCGGTGTCTCAGCTGGTACTAGGGTCGGAGGAGGTCGGCAGAAAAAAGGTCAGACATCCTGAAGATGTATGTTTGATGATGGCGACAAAATGTTCAGAGGTTAAAACTCTGCCAAGCTGGTTTAGTTTATCAGATCTACAGTGGCTAGGGACCTAGTTCCAGAGATTTTTTCCCTGAAGACACTGAGGCAGTTGAGTAATTTCTCAATGTGCGTTTTGAAGAAAACGGTCATTTATCTCTTCATGACCAACTTTTTCTTCTGATTGATCTCATAGTGGTTTTTTCCGAACTTTGGTCATGCTGCCGATAATGACGCAATCACAAGTTGGCTTTAATACAGGTCATACTATAGGTTTTAGGAGCGCTAACAACATATATTTCACCAAGGACATCTTTCAAGGGGAGACATACACTGGTACCCCAATAATTTTGGTATACTCCTCCATTTTCTTCTAAAAAGTTCATAAAACTAGTGTAACACTATGACGCTCCCAATGTGGACTTTTAGCACATGTTAACATTTACAATATCATTCACTAACAGATTGACATTTTATAAACATTACCTCATAACTGAGAGGCAAGTTAGCAATTACACAATGCCTTGCATAGAGTAGATGTTCAATAAATGTTTGAATAAATGGATAGTGGTTTTGCCTAGAGAGAAGAGGAAAAGGAAGAAATGATAGTACTTCATAACAAGATGTCTACATGCCAACAATACAGTGGGTACAGCACCTTAATTAGATCTGGCTACTGATCCTGACATTGGAAGACCAGTAGGATTTACCTAACGAGAGAACAGTCTATGCCAACATCAACAAGAAAGTTCCCACACTAAATAAATAAAAGTCATGAGCCCTAGTCGGCTTGGCTCAGTGGATAGAGCGTCAGCCTGCGGACCAATGGGTCCTAGGTTCAATTCCTGCCAAGGGCACATGCCTTGGTTGCAGGCTCGATCCCCAGTAGGGGGCGTGTAGGAAGCAGCCGATCAATGATTCTTTCTCATCATTGATGTTTCTATCTCTCTCTTTCTCCCTTCCTCTCTGAAATCAATAAAGAAATATATTTAATAAATAAATAAATAAAGGTCATGACATTTAATTATAAATGGATTACTAATCTTATAGTACACAAAGAGACATGGTTTCATGGGTGATAATCCAAGTGGCCTCTGTTACTCTTTTTTTTTACTCTCACCTGAGGATGTGTTTTTATTTATTTTTTATAAAGAGAGAAAGGGAAAGGGAGAGAGGGAGGGAGAGGGGGAGAGGGAGGGAAAAACAGAAACATCAATCGGTTGCCTCCCATATGTGCCCTAACCGGGGATCGAACCTGCAACCTGGGCAACGACCCTGACTGGGAATCAAACCTGTGACCCTTCAGTGCATGACACTATGATCCAACTCACTGAGCAACACTGGCCAGGGCCTCTGACACTCTTGTTAAATAAGTTCACCAGTTCTAAAGATAAGAACTCTTCTATAAATATTCAGCTGGACTGCTATTTCCTATATTTCCAGGTTACAAATAGGTATACTAAAATTTCAAGGCCTCAACTGGAATCCAATACTTAAACTGTGGATTTCACAAATCCTCTAAATTACTTTTTTTTTTTTCAGAGAAAAGAAAACAGAAGTTTTGATCTAAAAGTTACATTTGTATGCAACAATGCTCACTATTACATCCTGCATACAAGCATAAAGAGGTAGCTAAAAAGAACATCAGAGTTGAAGGGGGAAAGTCTACTTCTAATCTCAAAGGTCACAAAAGCAGAAAACAGAAACCAAAGACAGTTCTAATGTTTACAAAAGACCAGTAACACAGAGATGAGCTGAAGCCTATTTTAGAATTACTAATGCTGATGAGAAAATCCTTTGTATTGAAATACTCGAATTTTCTCTAAAACAACCACTGTTTATATGTCATCGTACCTCTCCAAGTATCTTTATCCCCAGAAATATTTTCCACTCTGCACTGGATTAAAAACTCAGTTGTGCGTATACTGTGCACAGATCAGTCCAAGAGTCCTGACTACATTAGCTCCATTCCACTAAACTTAAAGGGATATACAACCAGGAAGAGAGGACTGACACTGGTGAGAAAAGCATTTTCATTTTAATGCCAAAATGGCCGAACAAAGCCACATAACTGGTTTCCTGCCCTTTTAGAATTGTTGTTACCCTTCTAAACAATAAACACCCAATACCTGTTTTGGTGGTTCCAACAAAAAGCAGCTGAAAAGAATAAAATTAAAAACAAAACACATCGCACCCAGCCGGCATGGCTCGATGGTTGAGCACTGACCTATGAACCAGGAGGTCACTGGTTCGATTCCTGGTCAGGGCACATGCCCGGGTTGTGGGTTTGATCCCCAGTAGGGGGCATGCAGGAGGCAGCCGATCAATGATTCTCTCTCCTCATTGATGTTTCTATCTCTCTCTTCCTCTCTGAAATCAATAAAAATAAAAAATAAAACACAGTAGTAGCCATATGATTACTTCTATTGACACCCAAGTTATAATTTAATTTTGATTTTAGTTCCTCAAAATGGACAAAGTATTTATGCTACTTGGAGAAAAAAGAAATGCTTGGACTCTTACAGTTGAAACATTCAAATACAGGCTGATGAATACGGTAAGTTTCTAAACCAAGAGCTCCTGCCTAGAGAACTTTCACTCTGGTTGAGAGAGACTAAGTGAAGAATGTTTGTGTTGGTGACTTACTTGAAGTACAGTTCTTTGAAGGTGAAATGCGTTTCCACAATGCCTGTGGTCTTCACTCTTGTCCGCAGGACATCTTGCTGAGTTGGAATGTAGTTGGCTTGGGATATTCTTTCCAAATCATTTAGGTAACTAAATAAAATACACGTTTATGTTTACCTGGTGAGGCCAACCATGTGCACAGCAAGTCAACAGACTAAACTAGTTCCTGCCAAAAGTAGATCCTGAGCTAAAGTGGCCGAACAGAATCACATCTTCCTATCACAGAAATAAGAAAATGTGAGCCTAGCAGAGGACAGAGTAGGCTCTGTAAACACCACATAAAACTGATAGGACTTTAAAGAACAGTGTTTGAATTACTAAAAAGAGAACTATGCTCAATAAGAACAAGTAGTTCCTGTTTTTATTTATGAAACTGAAAGTTGTGGGTTTTTTTAAAAATCTAAGCCAAAACAAACTATAAATACCTTCAAACAAATTTAATTTGTCATACAATAATTAAAAGACTGATTCACAGCTAAATTAAATTTTTCATTTCAGGGTTTCTAAAGATTTGTGGCCTGACATGAAGAACAGGTGGCACCATTGTAAGAGAATCTTATTTAATAAAAGGCTAATATGCAAATAGACCAAATGGCGGAACAACCGAACAACCGGTTGCTATGACGTGCGCTGACCACCAGGGGGCGCGCACAGCCCATGGCGGACGTCGGCAGCAGGCAGCAGAACATGGAACATGGCGGGAGTTGGCCATGGCGGGATGGTGGAGCAGGTGAGTGGGGGCACCAGACCAAGCGGGGCACGGGTCACTGTCATTGGGGCGAAACTCTGGTGGTTACTGAAAATTCTTTGCTGCTGTGCGCTGGCCCCACTCATACCTGCTGCCAGCACTGGAGCCGCCACTTGTCCCCGCTGCCGGCGCCTGGCGTCAGCCCCCATCGCTCAGCGCTGTCAGCAGGTGCGAGCGGTGCCTGCCAGCCTCGATCGCCCCTCAAGGCTTTTCCACCTCCCCCTTCTCCTGAGGGGCGATCGGGACCAGCAGCTGCCTCTCGCACCAGCTGCCAGTGATGGCCCCGCTCGCACCCACTGCCGGTGCTTGGCGCTGGTCCCAATCACTTGGAGCCGTCAGCGGGTGCGAGTGACGGCTGCTGGCCCCAATCACCCAAGGGCTTCTCCACCTCCCCCTAATCTTTTTTTTTTTTTATTGCTTAAAGTATTACAAAGGGTATTACATATGTGTCCATTTTATCCCCCCGCCCTAGACAGTCCCCTAGCCTCCCCTATCCCCCAATGTCTTATGTCCACTGGTTATGCTTATATGCATGCATACAAGTCCTTTAGTTGATCTCTTACCCCCCTACCTCCTGCCCCCCAACCCTCCCCGGCCTTCCCGCTCCCCCTAATCTTGAGGGGTGATGGGGCAGCAGCCGCTACTCGCACCATCAGCATCAGCGCACGGGAGTGGCGGTGGGGCTGCCAGCAGAGAGGGGACCCAGGCATGGTGGGAGGGGCCAGGCGGGGGTGCACAGGATGGGCCAAGACCCACCCCTGTGCCCACTACAGCCTGGCAGCCCACAGTTCCTTTCAAGGTGCACGAATTCATGCATTGGGCCCCTAGTCATTAATTAGGAGCCAGTCAAGCTTAGATCAACAATTATGGAAAAAAACCCCACAAAAACAGCACCTCCATAAATCACATGTCTTCAGGTGTAGCTGGAGGATTTAGAGATTATTAAATGTATGATGGAAGAAACAACTACAATCTAGCTTTGATGACTACTGGGAGAATTATTTAAATTACCAATAGCTGCAATTTAAAAATATTAAAAAAAGATGGGCAAGAATCTTGAGATGGTTCACAAGTCAAATTTTCTCTTGAAGAATAAGTTTTTCAAATATTTAATTTCTTCTATAACAACTTACATTGGAATGAGAATGGGGAAAGTAGGACAATATAATACTGGAGAAAATACCTTAATGTTTAAAAGTGTCTTCATTTAGTAAAAAAATGAATACAAGTAACAAGAACTCACCAAGCACCCAAAATGCATTTTAAAAAAAACATCATTCTGAATGTAGGTATGATAAGTAAAAATGTAAAAGAAGCAAAACAGGATAGCACATTATAGCTTAATATAAGTATTCATTACAAATTTCCTAAAAGCACATAAACCAAGAGAATTTCCTTGACAAACAGATGCTTCAATTTCGTTCCAAGACTCAACATCTCCTTCTATGTAAAGTCTGCTATTGCGTTATCTGGCAAAAGATTTATCAGTGGTGACTAGTCCCCGGGAAATCCATGCTGCAACCCAGCCACAGAGGTGGATGCATAGAAAGGGAGTCACAATCCTAAACTCCCTCGCTTGCTGGCAATCGATGCAAAGCCCTGGTGCACAGAGGGATTCCTGAGCTGGGAGAGAACCAGGAGCCAGCTGCAGGAGATGTCTCACCACTTTCCCCTGCTGATTACCAACTACCATAGAGCTCCTTTCATGGTGCCAAGTCTCCCACTTACATTCCAAGAGGAAACGTTTTTCTCCAGGTTATACAAAATGACCAAGGGTTTCCAACTGAACTGAAACCATCTCTATAAGGAATCCATAGACTTCAAGAGTGTCTGCTACTTCCCCATTTCCGTAAGGATGGGCAATGAACTGAGCTATTTTCTGTGAGAGAGGGAAATGACTTACTATGAGGCAGAATCGTTGAGCTGGTACTCCCTGGATCTGCAGAAGCAAGCCTGCACGCCACCATCTCGCCACAGCCGTCTAATCACTCCTGCCAGTTCTGGGGTCATGACTCCTTCCTCGGCACTGCCAGCTAAGACAAATAACTGCCGGGCATCATCCTGAAGAGAGACAGATGGTCCTCCAGTTCTTAAAGGCGTGACAAGAGTCTCTTACTTTCACACACACACGAGCATCATGTGTTACATTATTTCTAAAGAGGCACTGAGTCTCACCCCTTCTCCACTACAGTCCCAAGTGCAGAGCTGAACTGAGGAATGGCTTCACGCCCCTACCCCTACCCCACTCCCTCCACAGACCACCATCCCCTGCAAATATCTCCTTCTGACTGTCCTACTAATCTCCATCCTGGTTACGCATACATTTTGGCAGGAAAAAAACTGGCCTGTGAGACAGACATATGTAACTCATTTGCATTCTGTTCAAGGAAGTCTCCAATAAAAATAGAAATGAAGACTAGCATGTAAGAGGTGAAGCCTGCACACGTCCAAGGAAGTAGAATCAGTTTAAGGAGAAAGTGTTCTCTTCTTCCCCCTTCAGGTCAGACAGGAGCAGGAGGCATTTTGGAAGTCTGGAAGCCTAGTGGGAGACACAAATCCCCCAGGGCAAATGCAGTATCTGTATTTGCCCAGCACAGTATTACCCTCTAATAAGACAAGGGGAAAGGCAGCAAAAGGAAAAGTAGCTACAAAGAGAGATTTGATCAAAACTTCCTGAGTCAGGGACCTAGCTTACAAGCAGAGTTTTTAACCCTCAAATGCGGGAGTGGGGGGAGAGGACCGAAAGGGGCTAGGAGAACTGTGACTGTTCTGCTTTATTCTTCTCAGCCCCAGTTGTCAGATGGTATAAAAAAGAACACCAGTCTCATGGGACGATTCCCCACTCAAATCTAATACCTGCCTCAGGAGATTTCCAAATGACTCTACAAACACAGAAACGAAAGAAGCATATTCTTGGTAAAGAAAAAGGGGGGAGGGTAGCAATCAATTGTATCACAGTGGCCAGCAGAGAGCATTTCCAACCACAGGGGCAACCACAGCCCAAACCTCCAAAGATGTGTGAATCCACCTGCGCAAGCGAAGCAACACAAAACTAACCCGAGTGCATCCCATTATTCTGCCTAACTCGAGGTCTTCGGCCTTCATGGTGTTTGCCGAGTACTCCTCCTCCTGTAAGAGCCTTTCCTGTTTCCTTACTGTTTTTTTAGGCCCAACCCTTTCTACGAAACTCTACCTAACATCTGCATTGCCCTCCTTTCTTTCCAGAGATAAGTATTTAACATAAAGGAGTGAATGACTGAGAAAAGCTGCAAAATGACATGAACTGGCAAATACCCAACAGTGAGCAGGCCCCTCTACAGAGATGGTAGTCTTTATTTGACATTTGAAGGCTTTATAGTCCCCTGGTTCTGAAATCTGACCCATACTCATGCAGATATTAAAAACACCTCAATAAGCATTACTTTGTAAATTTAATACTATGGTTCTAATTTTAGAAACTTGAAAAGAGAGCGAGCTACTGTATCATAATTTTGCTGTCCTGACTTTGTAAACACTGTTCCAGGAGGAAACACTTTCCTACCACTTAATCTCTTCCACTGACCCATCCTGCTTCTCCACAATAGACCTTCTTAATGAAGGTCTGTAAAGAGGCCCCTCTCTGCAATGAACTTCATACCTTCACCCTAAGCAGACATGAAAAACAACCTGCCCCACACCCAGCTCTATTCTTTCCCATTCACCCTCTAACCAACCATAAATAACTAGAAGGACAGTAGAGGAGCTATAAATATAAATTCTTACACATAAAAAAGAGAAACTTTGATTTTATAGTTCAATGTAGTACAGGGTCACAGTATTCTTGAATACCGAAAACTGCCTCTAAAATTTAGACATGGTTTTCAGTCCCTATTAAGTATATTCTGGGGGAGCGATATCTGCCTTAGGTCTCTATACCTCAGAAAGCAGAGCTACATGTCCAGGCAGCCTCTTTTACATCCCATCAACTGACTCTCTCTTGCTACTATAAGAAAATACACAATGCTGTAAAAGAGGTGATAAAAGTTACCCCAGAACCCTAGTATATCCCGTTTCCTAAAGACCTGACAAGCTAATACCTCCCGAACAGATTGCTAACACTTCTCAAATGAGCACATAGTACTTTGCTACATCTTACCTTGTTGCTTAAATTCATTTCCCTAAAATGCGAAGCAAATTTTGCTTAACTGCACCTACTGAAAAAGAGCAAGGGGGAGAGGAAATGAAAGGCACTTACTGCTCTGGCTGCTTCCCCAAAGTCAATCTTCAGCCGTCCCATGGCCCGTATGATGGCAATAATGGACTGTATCGTGTTGCTGTAGACAACTACTCTATACTGTTTGCATTCTTCCTCCGAATAGCCGTCCTCATGAATGATTCTTGGAAAAGAAGAAAACCACAAACCATTACGATGGACCTGAGATGGAAAGACCCTGTGAACTTTCATGCATTGTGAGGAAATGCAGTCTTACAAAAGGCCATGTCTCAACTTACTTCATCTGTTTCACAATGGTGCTTTTACCAGATTCTCCAGCACCTGAAAGAAAGGGAAACCAAATGTTGAACTCATCGGGAATCAAACACAAAAGCATGAAATCAACAAGAGTAGTAATTCCAGATTAATGGAAACCACAGGTCCTGGGGAAAACTTTGGTCAGGCTTTCTATCAGGAAAAACCAGTGAGCTTCTCCATTAGAGTTTTTTTATACTTTCTTTACATAACTCAGCAACCAAGTAAAATTCATTGAGAGTGTCCCAGGGCCTACTGCATACCACTTGTGAAAAGCAGGCCTTCTCCAGGAGACAAGCCAACACCTCTAGGAACTCACCCTCTACAAGAAACAGGATACAGACACTGAACACAGGCAAAAATGAAATGATTCATGGTTGGCCTAATCATGTTGATTAATTCCTCTGTCAACCCCCAGGGACCTGAGGAATGTTCCAAGAGCAATCCTCTCAGCCATGGGACTAGAGTTCAAAATAGAAGCAGAGGAGGCACTGTCCCCAGCACTTTTCCACTCTATACCCCACCCCCACGGTCCCTTCCTCATCCAGCGAGAACCACTTTAATGACCACAAGTGTCAGGGGGGCCCGCTGAACTCCTTGAGATTCATTCCACCTGCATTTCCCCAGCCAATGCATTTTCCCACCTTCCAGGATGCCTGTTTAACACTGACCCCTCTTTTGACTCTCAGCCTCTCTTTTACTGGAAAGATTAAAGAACTAAAAGAAAAACATGCACACATTTTCCCATAACCAAATCTACCAATCTACGTGTACCTCCATGAATACTCTCTACCTTCATCAATGAACTGTCTCTGCCAATGTCTGAGACTAATCTCTTCAATTGTGCACTTATCCACTGCATTGTACCGACTCAAGGTCTTGGCTGCTATAATTATCCCATGTCACTCAAATATCGAGGCTTCTCTTCCTACTGGGCCACTCTCATCAGTATACAAAGTTACTCGATTATCTTCCATCCTAAAATCAACACATACCCCGCCTCCTACCTTCCGACTCCACGTATCTTCCTCTAGCCACCTCTTCATTTTTTCTTCCTCTTTATACCAAAACACTTGAGTTGTCTATACTCATGTTCTCCAATTCTGTGCCTCCCATTCTCTCCTAACCCACTCCAGGCAGATGGCCATGCCCACCACTCGACTGAAACCACTTCCCCAGGTCTCACAACTTCCATGTTAACAAAGCCAATGGCCAATTCTTGTTCCTCATCTTACTCAACCTCTTAAACAGAACTTGTCCACATTGATAACTTCTCCCCTTGAAATATTTTCTGGAGCCCACATCCTCCTGTCTGAATTCTAAAGGTTATTTCCTTGGCCCTTTTCTCTGTCTGCATTCATTCTCTAGGCCACCTCATCTAACTGGTGTTTTAAACACCAGTCATAAAGTGATAATAATAGTTAACAGCTAGTGAGTACTGACTGCCAGACACAATTCCATGCACTTTGCTTGTGTTAACCCAATGAATACAATACCCCGTGTGGTAGATATTATTATCCCCAGATGACGTACATACAGCAGAGAGATGTTAACTTGTCCACAATTACAGCCAGTAAGCAGCAGAGCTAAAAATGTGCACTCACACAGTTTGGCTCCAAAGTTGTATACTGCCTCTATGCTAATGATTTCCAAATTTAGATCTTTAATCTTGGCTTCTAACCTTGGCTCCAGACTCATCTATGGAAACTACCTACTGGTATATCTATCTCATTAGCTTCCTATTAGACATCACAAACTTAAAATGCCCCAAACTGAGTTACTGCTTCCCTACCTTCCCACCAAAGCCCGCCCCATCCCGTTTCCTTATCTCAGTAAATGACACCATCACTGACTCAGCTGCTCAAGCTAAAAATGGTGACATATAATTAACATACAGATGAAATGTGGGTGCCAGTACCAATATGTATATTAAATATTAGGAAAGTCTAATTTTTAAATAAATAAATACATAGTTCTAACAGGTTCTTCTTGCCCCACAATGGATCATGATGAGTACACTGGAAACCACAGGTGATTACTGTAAAGACTTCCTAAATGCTTCAGACCTTGCCTTTCCTATGGTCAGTGTTCCCCTCAGTGGCAGGAATGAAATCTGTAAAATGTAAATCAGATCATGTCACAACTCCACCTCAAACTCTCCTCTGCCTCCGATTACATTCAAAGTAAAATCCGGGGGCAGGAAGGCCCACTGCGCTCTGGCCCGTCCACCTCTTCATTGCTGACTCCCATCATTCTCCATTTTGTTCTCTCTGCTCTTGTCAGTCAGGAAACATACCAAACAGGTTCTCAGTGAGCTTGATCCTGACTCATGGTCTCTGCAGTCACTATTCCCTCTGCCTGGAATAAGTTTTTACAAAATCTTCTTCCTTCAGAACAGCATTCCCTGACTAATCTACCTAAAATGCTCCATCCCATTCGCCCTCTCCCCCCTCACTCTGTGTTGTATTTTCTTGAAGCACCTGTCACTTCTTCACATTACAGATGTGTTCACTTTATGTCTTCTCCACTAAAATATAAGCTCTATGATGGTTTATGCATCCCTGTATTCCCAGGACCTAAAACTAAACCTAACATAAGTCGGTCATGCAAATAAATACTGCTGAACAGATAAATGACTAATGTTTATTATGTATGATCCTTTACTAAATATTTCTCAACTCTATCAACCAAAAATGTTAGTGAAAATAAAACTCAAATAACTTAAACATTTCAGACATCTACATTTTTACAGAATCAAACAGGATTTTTACCTGTGACATTGTCTCTGTTCTTATCACCTAATCAATTATCAGGGGTAGCACTAAAATAGTTAATATTCAAGTAGCACGCAGAGAACTTTCTAAGGACACTGTAAGAAAGAAGTGATTTCTCCCTTGCATATCTTAAAAAACACACACAACCTAATGATTCGATTTCAATTCTGGGGAAGAAAATAAAAAAGCATACCAGCTATATGTTGCCCTACCTCTATGCTTTTCCAAGGCTACCTGATAAAATGTCAGTTTGTCCTTCTCTTCATTATGACACTATATATAAATGTATGTATTTGTATATGTATTTTTTTTCACCCAAGCTTTTTTTTTTTTTTTTTTTTTTAATATACTTCATCGATTCCTTTACAGAGAGGAAGGGAGAGGGAGAGGGATAGCGAGTCAGAAACATCGATGAGAGAGAAACATAGATTCAGCTGCCTCCTGCACGCCCCCCACTGGGGATGCGCCCGCAACCCAGGTACATGCCCTTGATCGGAACCGAACCTGGGACCCTTGAGCCTGCAGGCCGACGCTCTATCCGCTGAACCAAACCAGCCAGTGCTCAACCAAGCTTTTATTAGGTACCCAGTTCCATCTCTTAAAAGAAGGCACCTCTTACTGACCACAGAATTGAGTGGGCGTTTCAGGGCATTTTATACAAATACAGACTGATTTGCTTTCTACCGAAAGGCTTGGACCTATTCGGCTTCTAGATCACCATGAAAAGTGCCACCAGCATACCTTTCTTCCAAGTATGAAATCTAAGAGTCACCTGGAACTCACTCACTCTTCTCTCCTTACATCAGGCTGTAACCAAATCTTCTTCCTCCTTATGCATTTCTCAAGTTAATCCTTTCTACTCCTCACATCTCAGCCTGACACTACACCTATTATATTGCTGTAACTTTCTGAAACTTCTAGCTCAAAGCCCCCCTTCCTTCTCATTCTTTCCAAATGACACCACTAAAAAGGCACCAGTTTATCTAATAATTATCCAAATTCTAACATCTTCTGTAACCCTTTATTTGGGCTGGACTCTTCATTTTTACCTCAATCCTCTGTGCTCTGCTGCTGCAGTAGTGAGTCCCCTTCTAGTAACATCTCTCTTAGGTTTTCCCCACACGTTTCCCATGTCTCACCTTCCCCTCCCAATACAGATATGGTGTTTGGAACTTCCTAATTTTTTTTTTTTAAATATATTTTATTGATTTTTTACAGAGAGGAAGGGAGAGAGATAGAGAGTTAGAAACATCGATGAGAGAGAAACATCGATCAGCTGCCTCCTGCACATCTCCTACTGGGGATGTGCCCGCAACCCAGGTACATGCCCTTGACCAGAACCGAACCCGGGACCCTTCAGTCCGCAGGCCGACGCTCTATCCACTGAGCCAAACCGGTTTTGGCGGAACTTCCTAATTTTATCTACATCCTTTTACCTACCTTCCTTCAAAATTCACCAAATTTAAGGGGAGACTCATCTGCCCATTTTCAATCTACCAGGGCAGTAATCATAAGAATGTAAAGAATGGGATCCACACAAAGGGAGTGCAATGACCGAATCCAAGGCCTAGAGAGAAGAACTGAAGATGACTCTGTAGCAGAAGGGATGGAACTGGGCAGGGGGTAGGGTGTATAGGAGAGCAAAGTCCAAAAGGTCCCAGAAACAGGAGAGAATGGGATCAGTCTGACTTAGAAGATTTAGACTTGAAAAGATATATAGCTAAATGTCATCTTATATCAATAGGAAGAAAGGATGAGGGCTAAAGCTAAGGGATTTCTGAAAGAAAAAGAGCAGAAGAAGCTAAGTTAGATGGTCTTGCTCTCAATACAAGAAGCAAGGCAATGTGCAGCAAATAAAGGGGTGGAATTGGTTTAGAAAATCAGCTTAGAAACAATCAAACAGAACAAGCAGTGTGTGTACAGGTTAGCATAATCACCAACAGTTAGATGAAAAACAACTTACCAGCTCTGTTCTAGAATCATCGTATTTACCTAAATGCATTCTAAGTTTTGTTTTTAAGGAGCTCCTTGAGAGGAGACACCATATTACACGCCCCACCCACTTCTTCCCACAACACACACTACATTATGGGGATGGAAGATAAGAAATGCTGATGATTTCTCTTTTTTCTTTTATTTATCTTTATGGTTTGAAGTATTACAGATGTCTCCTTCCCCCACCAATGACTCCCCTCCTCCCCACTCCTGTCCCCTCCCCACGTGATTTCTTTGCACGATTTTTTTTAAGTCCAG